AAGCCAAATTAACTTTTGCATCCGTTTTAGAGGGTGCAGAAGCTAATCCAAGCATTTAAAACCATTTTGACCCTTTTATGACACACTTAATTTTGCAAAAATTGACTTCGCAAAGCCATTGAAATGTATTGAGTCAGCTTCAATACATTCCAATGGAGGAAACATTGTATCGTTTAACGATGTTTCCTATGGGTTTTTTCGCTTAAGGATGGCAATCCGTGCCTATTGGAACGGATTAACCGGTTTCCAATGCATTCCTATGGAAAATGGTGTTTCACATAATTATGTTTCACATAATGTTTTTTTTTTTTTGGAACCAATTAAAATCGTTATGCGAGGCACCACTGTACTCATAGGCAGATAGACACTTTGATCCATCTACGTGACAGCTGGAACTTCACAGTTTTGGCCAGTCAGGAAAGTGCTTTCATTCTGTGCCAAACAGCTCTTGTTCACCACCCTGGAGCACAGCACAGAATTCTAAGTACCTCAGCAAACTATAAATTCTAAGATTCCATACAATGAAGTCATCTTAGTTTTAAAAAATGTTCCTTGCATAATTATGTTGTAAACCACCCAGAGAGTGCTTTAGCACTATGGGGCCATATATAAGTCAAAACAACAACATAATACTAAACTGATGTAACGGTGTAGTGTAGATACACATATATTTATCTTTTTAAAAAGAAAAATACTAACAAGCCTTTTTCCTTTTATATTTTCTCCTGTCTACCCTTATTTTTCATAATTTTATTTCATACCATTTGTTGTCTTGCATCAAACAGATTATACACACACACAAAAAAGAGAACATTTCAAAATATTCTGCATGTCACATTTCCTTAAAGCCTTTATTTTTTTGCATGAACTGGTTTGCATATTATGCCATGCGTACCAAATCAGTATCACCAGCCAAACTGTTTGGAAGGAAAAGAACACAGATACTGTACTCAGGTTAGCTAAACAAACTTTCCCAAAGGGCATGTGCTGGCTAAAGTTATCACCATCTCCAAATGGAAATAAAAGATGTCAGACAACATTAAGAATTGCATTTTATCAGTCTTTGTACAAAGAAAAATGTTCCTCACAAACTGAGTAGCCTGCTATCAGGCTGTACTCATTCTCTCACTTTTGTACAAGGTAGTGGACCAGGAAATTATTTTTAATTTCTGTTACTCCTGCATGACACTCTAGTTCAAGAAAGTGAACCCTGGTGCCAAACCGATTCCTACACTGTGTTCCAGATTTGGGCTCCATATGTCCAAAAAAGAGGACTGTAACCACAAAAAAACTCACAATGAAATTAGCATGCTAGTCTGAGCAGTTTTATTTTTATTTCAATTTTGTTGCTACTGAAACAGACTAACCTGATTACCTCTCTGAAAACCTCTTTCCTTGACTCATGCCAGACTAGTTTCTGATACTAGTTGTCTTGCGTTCTCTGACAAGCTCCATTATCAGGAAAAGGAGTACCATACTGACTTTTCAAGAGTCATTTTGTAGCAGTGGCCAGAATCCCACTGGATATTTATGCAACCACAAGACAAACAATAGACGTTGCTGCAGGAAATTGGTAAAGTTCCATTTGCATGTCTGTTGTGTGTGCCTGGCACCTTGCTAACTAGCCACAACACCACATTCTCCTTCCCATCTGTTTCTTCTTTCAAATAACACTTGCAGGAATAACTTCATCTCTGGTCATAATTTATTATGCCAATAGTTTAAAACCATATATGAGCAGAGATGAGGCAATATCTGTTTGCATTACTTGAAACTAAGGGAAATGAGTAATGGATGGGAAGGGGAAGAGATGGTCCATGTTATGGAATCATTCTAATATGTAAATTATAATGCATTTTGCAAAATTACTGTTCAAACTTTGAGGTTTTGTATTCTTAGACTGTGAAGTATCTTTCCATTTTACATTTCTATAGAAAAATTAGTTTTGTATTCTTAGACTGTGAAGTACCTTTCCATTTTACATTTCTATAGAAAAATTCTTGAGAAACGTAATAGGTTGAAGCTTTAAATGAGAAAGCTGATTCATGATGCATCACAAAAAAATTGGCAGAGGCAAGACCACTTTCAGACCTGTCAATTAAGTAATTAACAGGCAACACCACTTTCAGACCTCTCAATTAAGTAATTAACTGCACTATGCTCTTGCTTCACAACAAAAGATCCTTCCCACATGATCTGAAGTTTACTGTGTTGCACTATGCGCTTGCTTCACAACAAAAGATCCTTGCCACATGATTTGAAGTTTACTGTGTCTAACAAGATTCAGGACTACCACTCAATTCCCCATATTAAAATGATAGTGCTTTGCTTTTGCATGTCTCTCCCCATGCCTGAACATTATGTCCCCGACTGCCTACATCACCACCTACAGATACACCCTCCCATCTTTACAAGAAGGTATCACAACTAACAACATGGGAAAATGCCTGTTCAAATAATTCTAGCTTGAAAAAGTACACACTCACATCCAGCAGCAGAGAGAGAAAAGCAAAAGGAGCTGGACCAATTCAAATTAGACTTTGCATCATGCAGTCAGTAAAAAAAATACTTCAAACTCACCCATTTGCAGAACTTTGCATCATGCAGTCAGTAAAAAATACTTCAAACTCACCCATTTGCAGAGCAAATCCCATGCACTCTAAGTATTTTCAAAACAGTTATGAGTAGTGTTTCATGAGAGGATCACAGTTATCTATGTCACTCACAGCTTTCAATTGTCATTAATATATAGTAACTTGAAACTAGTAATTAATTTTTAAACTTTTAGCTTGTCTCCTTTGGTCAAGTCATTATATAAAGGAAGTGAAAAAGCACCCACCATAGTCACTTAAGTAACAACTAACATTACCATAATTATTAAAATTCTCATAGGAATAACAAAGAGCGCGCATCTTCCTGGGTTGATATAACTTGCAAAACAATATAACCAGCAGTACTTCACTAGTATATCAACATTATCAATAGCATTGGTCAAACTTCTGTATTTTGTAACTCACCTCTTCCTTCAGCTGCTTGATTGACTGCTGAAGAGTCAGCAGATGATTGAATCCAGGATTCTTGAGTGTATTATAAAGAAAAGTCAGATTTTCACTCTGTGAAGTGTCTCCTCTCTCGTGAAGTTTAATTAGCAGGCGCTCCAGAATCCTCAGCACCTGCTGCTTATCTGTTGGATTCCCCAAAAGCCACAGTGTAAAAAAGCTGCTTAATAACCCTGAATTATTTGGACAAAAGGATCCCACCCCTGAGAAATATATACCTGCAACAGGATTTTCAGGCATGTTGGCTTCTTTGTACTGCAGTGGTAAACAAATATTCTGCATTTCAAAATAAAAGTGCAGGTTAGATTTAGCTTTTCTTTAGGTCCCTGTCTAGAACAGAATTGACAAACACACACATTTTTCTAGACCCATCATCCCTACATAGATCAAGCATAGGACATTTGTGAATTTCTCCTAGAAGATGAGTGGTTCTCAACTTTTGGTTCTTCAGACGTTTTATACTCCGACTCCCAGGATCCCTTATGTTAGCTATGCTGGGTAGAGAAGTGGTCCCCAACCTTGGGCCTCCAGATGTTCTGGGACTTCAACTCCCAGAAATCCAGGCCAGCAGAGGTGGTGGTGAAGACTTCTAGGAGTTGTAGTCCAAGAACATCTGGAGGCCCAAGGTTGGGGACTACTAGGCCAGAGCTTTGGAGAGCCAAAGTTCAAAACATTTCAAGGGTCAAAGGTTGAGAGTGCTGACTTACAGCAAGCAAAAGGAGGGCTTCCCCCACTCAATTCTTCCCTTTCACAAGAATACATTTTAAACTGAATACTGTATTTCTACTTAAATTGTTTCCAGCTATACCTGAATATGGGCATACCACATTTGTTTGTTTGTTTATCTTTTGCTCCCATAGCAATTAACAATTTACAGATTAAAACTACTGAAAACAGATAATTTACAATTATAGATAAAAACTGTTTAAAAGATTTAAAACATTAAACAATTTTAAAATCAAACCTGTAGGGACCAAAGACTTTTAGGAATAGTACACTTTTGGCTTCCTGCTACAACAACAACAGTGATATTTTCTGCTAATGTTACTTCAGCTTGAATTCCTATTATACACCCACCCAACTTTTTACTTGGCTTATTTGAATATACTTTTTTTCAGTGCCAATGGCATTAATGTGAACAACGGCCACATTAACAAATTATATTTTGCACTGCACTGCCATCCAACTTTAAGTCAAATTTTGTTGTGCTTAAACAGTAGTGGTTCTGTCCTCCAGATGTTTCAGACATCAAGTCACAAAGCCCTTAGTCAGCATGGCCAATGGTCAAAGATTTTAGGATATGATATCTAAAACATCTGGAGGTCCAAAGGTTGAGAATTACAGAGACTTCTGAGTAAATATGTTTAGGACACAGCTGTAGAAGTATACATCCTGTTGAGTCTGGTAATAGTAGATCTTCTTAGAACTCTACTGATAAGTTTCAGTACACATTATTAGTTCTTTCTAGTTAGTGAGGCCTTCCTTTGTTTCTACATAGAATCATCCCAGTCCCACATACAGTTAATTGAACATGAGCTCCTGAATGAGAATTGATATTCTGAAAAAATCTGAAGCTTAAGAATTAGGCTATGATTCTCTGCATTCTTATCGTCACACAGTAGCATTACTTCTATATGTATGTAGATAAAATTAGTTGAAGAAACTGAAATAAAACAAAATAGGATTAGTCCCAACTCACTTTCCATTTATTCAGTTCTACTCACAGCATGATCCTAAACATGTTTGTTCAGAAGCTTTATGGATCTCATTCCCTAGATAAGTGTGCACACAGTTGCAGTTTCAACCTCAACTTGCTTTACCTTAACCAATCCCCCTGTGTTTACACTAATGAACCCCGTGATTTGTCATATCACTGCCCATAAGGCTTTGACAGGAGCACAAGATTGGGGAACTTCTAGCTGTATGGCCAGATCAGGCGTCTTGAGATCCCAGTCCAGCCCTCTAAGGTTCCTCCGATGACCAGGCCTCATTTTTTCATAAAAGCATTTTCTCCCTGAAATGCCTCTCTCAAGGCATAAAGCTGCTCATAGCAAGAGCTTTCAACCAAGATATCAAGGTATTTCCTAATATTTCTCTGAAATTAAATGTGTCCCTTGGGCTGAAAGGCTTTCCCACCACGGATGTAACAGGGGCCAAACAAAACCCTGGGAGAAATTCAGACAAGTGAAATAAAGTTAGTCAGACTTTGAAAACATTTCTAAATACTACTGGGATGTACTTTAATGTGTCAGTTACTGGCTGAGATAAAAACCAATTGTTTGCCAATAGAATATGCCTAAAGCAACAGTTTAATAAAGTGTGATCTTACAGAAAAAACAAATGAGGAGTGCTTTGAAGCACTCCAGAAATAAATCCATTTTGAAGGAAGGTTGCTTACTTCAATTCAACCTTAACTGAATTCCATTTCTAAACCAAGAAGTAACAGAATGCCTAACAATACACTTTTCAACTTTTTTTTCTCATCTTAGAAACACAGTAGGAAATTGTTGACACTGATAATCATTATAACCCATAACCTGCTGTTCGTAAGGTATTCAGTCCTTTGTTGTTATATTTTTCATAAGTTATGTTTGGTAAATCCTCTATGTGGGTTTTGTGCTTTTCTTGCGGGCCATGCTGGACTTAACAATCCTTGCAATTCCTTCCAGAAGAAGGCTACAAGCAGGACAGCAGCTCATATTCTCTGCCTCCAGACACTTTCCCCCTATTTTGTCTAAAGAAAAAATAATCAAATAAATGACTAGCAAGGGTAACTGCACAGAATAGCCACTGCCTCCCACGGGCTCTTTGTCTGCAGGCTTGCCTACCCAACCTTTCCCACTATACATCTCACAGAGAAAGGGCACATGAATCAGAAGGAGCAGGCCTATTCTCCTCTCAAAAACAGAGTGAATGACCAAGAGAAGTTAATGGCTTCACTTTGCAATAAGCTCACTTGGGGAAAGGAGTGAGAACTCAATACTTCAGCTCTCTTCCCTCTGAATACAGGTAAAAAGAATGTGAGCATTGAGAATTATCTACACTACATAGTTACACCAGTTTAATTTTACTTCTAGTTGGTATGGCACTGCCCTAAAGAATCCTAAGATTTGTACTTTGGTAACGGAATTTGAACTCTCTGCTGGAGATCTCTGGGGCTACAATTAAAGGGTAATGCTATAGCAAAGAATTTTAAGCACCTCACCAAACTAGAAATCCTAGGATTTAATAGGAAAAGCCATACTGATTGAAGTGATATCAAACTGCTGTAATGATGAGCTATGAGCACATGCAAAATCTAAATCTAAACCCCATTTTGCTTTTTCGGCAGCCTGGCTTCGTGAGCCAAGGCTATCCCATCTGGCCTAATTTTTGAACTGTTTGCCTTAATCCCAAGTTTTATACCACACTTTCCTTGTAAATCATTCCAGAGAACTGAAAAGTTTGTCCCGTTTGTAACATTTAGTGACTCCATAAAGTCACTGCCTAATCTTAAAGGATATGCTATAGAAACACTTTTAGGCACAAGATGAGGAAATTGAGCTATCCAGCTGAAGAGGCTCACAGTTCCCACTATTAATGGCTGCTGCTCCTCTGGCGCAGCTGGTTGAGGCCAGTTCAGGTGATTCCTAAAAGAAGGAGCATCCTCCCCTTACGTAGGGCCAGCCACAAAAATTCCAAGTGTTTTTTTGGGTACTGCCTAGAGAGAAAGTTGTGTGAGTAGGTAGAGAAGCAGCGGTTGCTTGCCCATTTTCTTTATGTTCGTTTTATTGCTGGAAACCACCCAGAGCAGTGCCAAGGCCACTAGATGGTGCAGTATAAAAATATAATAAATAAATAAATGGGCAATATAAAGAGCAGCCCTCTTGGAGCCTCCCAAGGTGCTGAGATCTTAGCAGCTGCCTGACAGTTGGGATCAAACTGATCAATAGGGTGGTACTATACCTCCTTCGCTCCACTCCAGGTGCTGATAGGTTTATATTGCAGTGTCAGCCAGGGCCAACTTCATTAACAAATCGCCACCCGGCAACTGGACCCCAAGCCAAGCCTGTCTCAGAGCCCAAACAGAAAGTTCAGAGGTATGGCCAGCTGTGATTGAAATAAGCATTGAAAAGTCGACACAGCCATACCCCTGGGCACCTAAAAGAAAAAGTCACAAATTAGTAGCAAGAAACGTCAATCGGGGATCTCACTCCCCTGCCCGAAAGCCTCGGGCACCAAGCCCTGGTCCAAAGCTCAGGCGATTCCCCCGAAGTGCTTCCGAGGAAATTTAAAATATTCAGGAAGTCGGCGGCGGGCGCGCTGCGAATGTCCTGCGGCTTGCTTTTAACAGCGGCTCCGCGGCACCGGGAATTAGAAGGGGCCGAGGGGGGGATCGCCTCTGTTCCTCGGCACCCTCTTACCTGGTTTGTGGGGAGCGGAGGTGGCCCACAGGCGGCTTTTCGCGCCCCCCCCCCAGCTCTGGACTCGCTCTCACCTGGGCGGAAGCGAGAGTTGAGCTTTTAGCCGCACCTCACCTGCAACTCAGGGAGGCGACCGGAAGGGGGCGCCGCTCCAGCCTCGAGGAAACGAATCCAGGGCCCGGAGAGTTTGGGGGGGGGGCGACGGCGCGCGCGCAGGGAGGAAAGAGGGGCTCCTTTTTTGATATATGGACTGTATAGGGAGAAGAGTCTTGCAAGTGAATTTCGGGGCGTCTGTCTAAGCTGTGCTTGGCGTTTCCTTCCTCGGCGTTTCCTAAGGACGCAGAAGGAAAGGGAGGCTCGTAAAAAGAGGTGGTTGGAAGCCCGTCGCCAAAGACGACAGCGGGCATGGGCACCGAAAACGTAACAAATGAATTAAAAGTGCAAGAGTAAAACCGATCCAACCCAAGTAAACGGGAAAGCAAGGAGCGATGAGTCAAAGGAAGAGAAGCCGGTGCACCAGGCACTCCTCGCAACTATAAATGTCTCATGGACGTGGAGGAGGGAGGGGGGGGAAAGAGGTCGATCCGGTTCGTCTAGTATTTTATGAAAACAGAAACGTGCCAAAGGAAACTCACAGCATTCAGAAAGCATGCGTCAGTGTTTTTCCCCTCTTTTAAAAAAAAATAACTTCTTTAAAATTAGCCTTTTACATCCTGGCAGATCTTTTGAGGGCACACACTTTTTACCTTCTTCCTAGTAACTCTGAAATGTTGGACGTTTTCGTGCGCAGCGACGGAGTTCGGGCAAAATTCTCACCTGCGTTCTTGATGCCAGGGAAGCGCTTCACATTATGAAACTTTTCGACATCGTTTAAAAATCTGTTTAGCCAACTATTGGTTTTACTAAAGAGCTAGAAACACAGTTCTGAAAAATTCCAGAGGGCTGTCGCTTTCCCTGGTTCAGTGGAAGCAGGGAATCTGGGGTCCCTTAGAAACTAGCAAATATGTTACAGTGTATATAAGCTCTTTTCCTTTCCGTCCTCTCCCTCCCCCTCTTGTTTGACAACATCTGCTTTGACAGATTGCACTTCATAGGATGCACAAATGCTGGGGTGCTAAATGTAGGCCCAACTCCACTCACGGCTATTTACCGGATTTGATAACTTTTACTGTAATTTATTATTGAATGAATTGTATTTTAATATGTATTAATGATTTTTAAATTAATATATTTAGGCTGTTGTGGGTTTTTTGGGCTCTTTGGCTGTGTTCTGAAGGTTGTTCTTCCTAACGTTTCGCCAGTCTCTGTTGTTCGAAAAAAAAAAAAAAAAAAAAAAAAAAAAAAAAAAAAAAACCTACAACAAGCATTAGATCCCGGCCATGAAAGCCTTGGCGAATACAATATATTTAGGGTTCTCATTCGGTTTGGGTCTCTGGCTACAGAGCCAGAGGTTGGGAGTTCAATTCTTGGGAGCTCAATTCGGCCTTCCTTGACAAGGGCCGGACTCAATGATCCATAGGGGCCCTTTCAGTTCTGTGGTTCTAAGATGATGATGGTGATTAAAGTAGCTATATCTCGATAGCCTTGCCCTCCATCAATTGATCTAATCCCCTTTGAAAGCTATTCAAGAGAGTGAGTTTAACTATGTCCTGTTTTAATAAATATTATTTTTGCTCTGCCCAGAATCTCCCTGCTATCCTCCTTGTCCCTGCCATTCTGAGATTAGTAGCAAGTCATAATTTCTTCTGTGTCCACTTTCCCACAACATGCATACATTTATACACTTCCGATGTCTCCCCAAAGTAGTCACTTTCCCAAAAAATTAATGAGACCCAATTGATGTGATCTTTCTTCATAGTATAATGTCCCCACCACCTTGATCGTTTTAGCTACTATTTTTGCATATTTCCTAACTCTGCAATATCTTTTATGTGGGGTGGTAACCAAACTGATTACAAGCCTCCCTGTATTTAGTGAGTTGCTGGTTTTATTTTGCGCCCCCCCCAAATAAACACAAACAGGTGCCCAATATGGAATTTGCCTTTTTCAGAGTTTTCATTCCACTTTCCACCACAACCAAATATATATTTTCAATTAGTCAGTCACCACCAACTCAGACACTATAAGTGATAGCACTGAAGTTGGAAAATGTCCTTACCAATGAGAACTCTTGGCATGTGCTTTACTGTATTTTCAAAGTTAGATTAAAACCTTTTCTGTCTTCTCCAGATATTAATCACTTATAGTGCTAGAAGCAATGTTATTTGCTGTTTATCCTAATTTTATGTTTCTTCTCTTTTTATTTTAAACTGGCATTTTAAAATTTTAATTATTTTAACTTTTTAAACTGTACATTGACCAGAAATTTGCTATTGACAGTAAAGACATGTTGTAAACAAATAATGGCCAGAAGTGTATTGGGGATTTAAACTGGCTTAAGTGAAATTGTGTAAATCAAAGTGGTGAATTGTCATTAATTAATGTGCTGTCACTTACATTCCTGATCATGTACCTGCTGAATTGATGGAACATGGAATGAACTTATGAAAATTTCTAAAAGTATAGTTGTTGCCTCTGCTCTCAAGAAAGGAGATCCTAAAACCATTTAAATGTTAATATAAACTATTAAGAAGAACTGAGACCAGCCTCTCAAATAATCTCCATTCTTCTTAATGGTTTATATTAGCCATTAGCAGTGCAACATGACATACAACCATGAATGTGTCCAGTTACTCATTCGTTAGCTGCAATTTGTTGCCATGATTTACACATTTACTCTTAAACTGGCATAAATCTGTAAGAGGATTCTAGCCAATAGAAAATGTAGCCACACAAAAAAGTATGTATTGTTAAGGTGTTTCAAACACATACCAACCATAACCAAGTTTTCAAGGTACGTGAGATGTTCAAAAAGTTATTTATCATTGCTAACCCTCAGTGAGTTCCAGAGCTGAGTGGGAATTTGAATCCAGGTCTTCCCCGCCATTAACACTGCATTGGCTCTCAGAGACAAAGCTGAAATCAATTTCAGATAAATTCTTAGGGGGAGGGGGTTGCATCCCATCATTGGGCAAGACCAAAAATGCCAGCATAATGTAACTTTAAAGTTGATGATGACAACTAGTTAACACGAATTACTAATTAAAGATGTGAGCAATGATATGAAGCTATAATTAGGTCAAAATACTTTTTCTTAGAACGAATCTTTTCTAAGGTGGTATCAGTAGATGGAACTAAATACAGTATACTCACACAGAAGACTTATCTGAGCTATATTTCAAATTGAGAACTAAAGGGGAGGGAACTGGATATTTTTTTTGTGAAGAAATATGAACTTTTTTTAGAAATAAAGAATCCTGTTATGTTTAGTAAAATCAGCAGGGCCGTCTCAAGGTATTTTACTACCTGAGGCAGCACAGTAAATGCAGTCCCTCTCTTCATCGGGTCAAAGTGAATAGTATCCAAGACAGTGAAGTTACATTTGTAACTGAAGTAACAGTTCCTGTAAGCACCAGTTGCTCTTCCTTGCTGCAAAATTACAACAATGTTATTAACAATGCAACAATGTTCTTTATTCATTTGTTACATCCTAATTCACCTGCCTGTGGCAGCTGCTTCCCTTTGCCTAAGGACAGCTGGTCTGGAGGGTAGAGATGAAGATAAAAGCAAAAAGCACATTTTCCACTGAGGACATTTTTAGGTTTAGAGGGATTTTGTTACTGTATTTAATATTTTTAGCTTGTTGGTGAGCAGAGAGAATGGCAAGTTAGGAGAAGCACAGCCTCCAAATTTACTACTACCAATTAAAATGTGGATAATCTGTAGCAAGTGGTGGCTGCAACAGATGGAAAGTCATCTTTGTTTGCGGACTTGGGCACAGATGGCAAGTACATTTCTTAGTGATTTGTTAGGAAAATCTGGTCTTCCATCTAGACTTCCTCAGTATCTTACCACACAACTTTTGTGTTCCATCAGTACAGTGGTTCTCAACCAGGTACCACTGGTTGAGAATCACTAATAGTATAATAAAAGATGTACATTAATTCTGATGTGTTCACAACTCTCCAGTGATACTTATACAGTGGTGCCTCACTAGACCAGTGGTTCTTAACCTTTGTTACTTGGATGCTTTTGAACTGCAACTCCCAGAAACCCCAGTCAGGACAGCTGGTGGTGAAGACTTCTGGGAGTTGCAGCCCAAAACTCCTGAGTAACCCAAGGTTAAGAACCAGTACACTAGACGATGATAATCCGTTCCACTGAAATCGCTGTTTAGTGAAATCATTGTCTAGCGAAAACCATTTCCCCATTGGAATGCATTGAAACCTGTTTAATGCGTTCCAATGGGGAAGAATCGTCATTGTCTAGCGAAGGTTGGCCACAGGAAAGCCGCTTTGCGAACTGCCAATCAGCTGTTTAAATCACTCTCTTGTGAAGCTTAGGTCCTGAAAACATCTGTTTTGCGAGCGCGGAGGAAGCTGTCAAAATCGTCGTCTAGCAAAAATCGGTTTGCAAAGCAGGGACCAAACATTGTCCAGCAAAATTCCCCCATAGGAATCACTGTTTTGTGAATTGCTATAGCGATCGCAAAAAGTAAATGTCTAGCGAAAAAACTGTCATGCGGGGTAACTGTCTAGCGAGGCACCTCTGTACTGTAGTTCTGTGCATAGCTACTTAAGGCCCACTGAGTTAAAAAGGACTTACCTCTGTCAGAATTGAGGAAGTAGTTGTGGGAACAGAACAAATTGCTCTAGCTGCCACACCATCCACCACTACCCCTACCAAGCAAGAGCCTCAGCTCCTGTGGGCAATTATGGCTCAGGCCCTACCATACTGTGGGCCAGAACTCTTCATACATTTGGGGCCATGTTGAAAGCTGCAGTGAAGACCTCAATGTCTTATCTGTGCCAGTCCCCATGAACCCTCTAAGACAATCGTCCTACTTCCAAGTAAATGTGCCTTGAATTGTGTCCCACACTGCACATGATTAAGCATGCAAATGTAATTGGCACCATTTACACTAGTAGGTTTATTTATTTATTACACTTATATAGAGTCTGCAAGAAGGTAAAGATGGATGTACATGATGCTCTTTCTCCCTATTTTTATCTTCACAACCATCCTCCATCTACTGATGGAGCCTCATCCAATGTCTCTCCCTGAGAATTTGATACAAGCTCTCCCCAAAATTATAACTGTGATGCCACATTGACTCTATTTCCTAGGGCTTGCCATTTACTACTTTTTTTTCAAAGTGCATGCACACATCACATTAGTTACTGCACAGCACGCTTCTGTGTCGTTTTAACAAGGGATTGGTTTAAAAGTGGTAAAGGCAGGCTTTTTCAAAGCATGCTGAGTCAAGCAAGGATTCCCTTAGGGTTGCATTAGAGTGACTTTTGGCAAGCGTCCCGTTATCAGTGACCTAACCATGCAAACTTAATACCTGTTTGTGACGAAGTAAATGGACTCACATAGGGCTCTCTAGTAAGTGGATATAAAATCGCAGTCAGATATGCTGTAGTAGTGGGCGATTTTCCTCGTCATGGAAGCGCAATTATCCGTGTGTAACTGCCGTTGGCTCCTAATAACTCTTAGCACCACAGGAGCTTTGCTCAGCTGAACATGTTAGCAGCATGCAAGCGGGAGAAATACTATTTATTGGGGTGATCGAGCAGCCGATCAGAACGGGTTGTCGATGTCTGCATTTGTAAACCTGGCCTTACGCCTCGCTCATGCTCTCTACTGACATGCTTCACTCCCCGTCTCACCCTTTCCACCTACTTAAAAGATCCCGATTAACCTCATTCCGTTTTAGGGGAGGAGTGGAAGAAAAGGAAAGAGTTATCCGTCAAATTTCCCCGCCCTTAAGGGATCCATCTTAGATCAGGGCATTTGCGCTTCCCTTTTTACTAAGGGCGCCTTCTACAGAACCGCGTATGGAAAACCAGCTTGCGGTCTCAGCCTTCGGTCCTATCAAGACTGTAAGAAACAGCAGCCATCTTTGTTGTGGGCAAAGTAATGCCTTTTTTCCCCCCTGTGGAAAAACAGCCCCGCCTCCTCTGGCTTCCTTCGCTGATGTCACGAGTCGCGTAGGCGGGGTGTTTCATGCCACTGCTGGATGGGCGAAAGGCGTCAGCTGATCAGTTGGCTTGCTTGTTTCAATATGGCCGCCTGGCTAGGAATGCCGATCTTAGGGCGCAAGAGGAAAAAAGAGGGCGCGACCGTGCTCTGGTCCGTGGGAACCTTGTGGCTGGCATGCCTCACGGTGCGGGGTGTGGCGGGCCGCGACCCTCCGCTGAAGTGCGAAGACCTGAGAGTCGGGCAATATCCTGGAGTTGTGGGGACGCGGTATAGTGACTAGTTACCATGGTGATGGGCCTTGCACTGGGATGAAGCGTGGGGATGGGGGGAAAAGGTGCAGGGTTGCCACCTTTGTTGGATGAACTGTGAGGCGAAAGTGCCATGCCTCGCAAACACGCAGAGCTTTCTCACTAACTGGGTTGCATGTTGAGAAGCTACTCCTGTTGGATTTCTGTTGCGTGCAGCTGCAAAAATTGTTGATTTTGACTGGTTAAAAAATATACTTACAAAGAGGGATGGTATAGTGGGAAGAGCTTCTTCATGGGTGGCTGTAGTTTATGGTGGAGCCGTTAGGTAAACTACCTCGAAGCAGGCTGTGAGCTCTCTCTCTCTCTCTCTCTCTCTGTGTGTGTGAGTGTGTGTGTGTGAGAGAGAGAGAGAGAGACGGAGGGAGGGAACTGCTAAGCACAGGAGAAAGAAAGTGGTGATTTCTCACACATCTCTTCCTCTTCTGCCATTACTAGTTGTTCATTGTGCTAAGGTGTCTTTGGTATGGAGTAACTGAATTAAAAAGTAAATGCTGACATATGGAATACACTCAACTGTTGTCTAATATTGTGAAACAGCATACAATGCTGAATACTTTGTTTAGGGCTGTCACGTTCTGGCAGGAAAAAAAACTAATAAAAAGATCATTTTATGTAAGACAAATTAGATGCCCATCTGAAGCCTCTAAGTCACCTTTCTGTCAAATGTTTCTATGCAGTAGATTGTCACTAGACGCTGTTCCAAGTCCTCCATACAGAGCACATTACCATAGTCTTTTGAGACTGAAGGATGCCTAACTGTATTTGGTAATATTTAGAGTTGAGCCATACAGATCAATGGGAGGTTAGTCATGGGTAAGCCCTGCTGAACACAGTGGTTAAAATTCTATTAAAAGTTTACTCCAGAGTAAGTGAAAGTAGGTATATCATGGCAGTAAATTACTAATAATTAACAAGATGCAAAATGTGTGTGTAACATGTGACTAGGCACACAAGCACCTTACTAACTGTGATTCACCATTAGAATGTGCACAGTTTCACTTTCTCTAGAGAAAAGCCCCAATAGGATTTTGGCTGTTGTGTTCAGTGGGCCTTCTTTTCTGGGATTTTTTTTTTCCTGGGAGTACCTGTTTTCTGAGAATAACCTGTATACGAATACAGTGAGATTTAAGCTTCAGTGTATGTGCATAGGTTTGTGTTGTAGAGTGGTTGGGCACAAGTAGATATCATAAGAGACTTGGACTGTTTGCCTCTCCATAGAATCATAGTGTTAGAATGGACCTTCGGTGTGTAACGAAAACAGAAGAAGAAGAAAACGAGAAAGAGAGAGAGAGAAAGGAAAAATTAAAGAACTGTGGCACTTTAAAATCCCACAGATTTATTTCAGTACGAACTTTTGTGGATTACAATCCACTGTATCAGACACATGGATTATAAATTAAATAAGTTTATATAGTCCACAGAATGGAGGGGTAGAGACCAACTGAGATGGGAAAGAGGATGAAAACTACATTTCTTATGGGCTTTCATCTTCAGCTCCCTACTGAGACCACTGAGATGTATCATCAATAATGTACAGCCCATTCTGGAGAATAATACTTTGCTCTCTGAGACTATAGCCATACTGACTCATAGGCAGCCACCCAAAATATGAGGCCACAGAACGCAAAGAGAAAAGAAGATGATTGCTACAAACCCAGATGGCAGTTGTGTTTCTGCATCTACTGTGCCAGCATCAATATTGACCCGAACAATGTCGCACACAATACAAGGGGATTCTTTACATGTTCAGCTGCTAATATTATTTATTTTATTTATACCCTGCTTATCTGGTCATTATGACCACTCTATCATACCTTCTTTGCTAGCTTGCATCTCTGGATTCTACAGGAAAATAAATGGACACACATCTGATATCAGAAATGGCAGTACTTAAGAGCCCATTTCAGAACACTTCTATGTCCTAAGACACTGTCGAAGATCTCAAAGCTAGAGAAAGTGTGCCAGCTGAAATGGGCTGTATTCTTAGCATTCTGTGTATGTTAACACTCTGGACTAATCCAGAGTTGTGCTCAGTTGCTTTTAAATATGTTTTTAGTATTGGTTTAATTTACTGTTTTTAATATAATACTTGTTTAATTCTTTTTAATATTTGTATACCTTCGGTGTTAGCTTTTAAATTGTCTTTTTAATTATGTAAGCTGGCTTGGATCCTTTTAAGGAGAAAGGCAGGGTAAAAATACTGTAAATAAATAAAATAAATAAATTGTATCATTACAAATAAAATGTTTCCTGGGACATAACGGTAATTGCATACTTCTGATTCCTTATAAGGGGATGCCTATGTGATTAGCACTGAGATCCTTTCTGATTTTAACAATGCAATTGTAATTCTAAAAGCTCATTATTAGCCATCCTCTTTTTCCCTTCTTACTTTGTCCTCACCCCCAACATGTACTTTGTGTATATAAGCCTGTGGGCTATCAATTATGTTCTATATGTCTGTAAATTGTAATCCATGAAAACTCACCTTGAAATACATCTGTTCATCATTCTGTTGCCATAGCTTTTTAAAAAAAATTACTGTTACACATGTTGAAACAGACTAATACAATGACCATTTTGAAAACGGGCATTATGCTCAGTGTATATTTTATAATGTATATCATAGCTACATGGATTATGATGACTGTCACTTACCCTCCGTTTATATACTCTAGTGAAGGAGAACTGGCCAGCTTCTAAGGCACCACCTGTTTCTACTTCAAAATGGCTTGATCCTTTCTGCTCTCTTTTATAGCATCTAGATCGTCAATTTTTGGCTCTCCAGCTATTTGGCTTCAGCTGTCAGAATTCCATATTGCCTGGGGCTTTTGATGATAGATGTCCGAAACATGGAGGACCAAAGATTAAGAACCGTTGACCCTAGATGAATGCAAAATAAAATCTGATGTGATTGTACTATTTGAAACCTCAGTGCTCATTGATGTGAGGTAGAAGGAAAGGCAATGGACAGCATAATAGTGCATATCATGTGTTTTGTTTGCTTATCTTGTGGATATTATGACAAAAAGAGACATGAAGTAGGGCAGCTTTTGTTTATGTATTCTCTAACAAGGTCCTGGTTAATATAAATAGCTGTACATCTTACATCTTTGTGTCATCATTTGAAGTAAGATGAAAACAATTAGCCACTGTGACTTGTAAAAAAAATTTTTTGTGTGTTATGGCACTATTGTGGAACTCTTACATGAGAATTCAGCTTGTATTTGTTTCCCTTAATTGTTCAAACATATATTTGCGAAGATCCTAAAATAGATAATGAGACACAAGAACCCTTGAAATGTACGAATCACACTGCATATGGTAAGGATTATGGTAATCTTTTTGTGTGTTTAACTCTACTTATTCTTTGACCAAATGCTACCAATGGTCACTAAAGTCCCCTTAATACCTTTTTTTAACGGATTATCAGACTGTATGAACAGGGGAGGTTTTTCTCTGCATGAGTTAATACTAGAGTGGCCTAACACTATTTGTGATTGGTTGTAGGTATAGTTTGACCTCTTTGAATCTTTTCTTGTGTAACACAATAGGCATTTTTAATAAGTATGGTAATAATTGGCCATATATATTCTGCGTCACTGACGCAAAATAATGTTTGGAAATATTTACTATACTAGTCTTTCAAAATATTTTTAAGAAACTGTTTACCATGCATCTTTGTCACCGTAAAAAATGTACTAAAATATATTGCTGCTTTTTTTTGCAACAGAGATTGTAAATTTAATCTGTTCTGAAGCAATATATTGTATTGTGTTCTATTAGATGTTTCGTGCAAAACATGCAAATATTTGTCTCACATCTGAAGCATTTTAATGGTGTTCAACACAACATACTTATATTGTCTTTATGCTCTCAGTTGCCTGCCTACCAGCTCCAAATATTACTTGTAAGGATTTCAATGGGAATGAAACCCAATTTACTGGAACAGAAATTGGATTTTACAAGCCTGTAGAATGTCGAAATGTGTGAGTACATGTGTTTAGTGCATAATACCTCTGTTTTTAGTGAACATTGGATACATAAATGTTAAAATGGTTTATATTCTTTATCAGCCTTTTGTATTGAAAAATGCTTCTGTTCTCTTTTTGGTTTTATTATAGATAATACTGTAATAGAGAATGAAGTATTAGCATACCTTTTTTAATTGACTGTATAAAATGTATTTCACACAGGTAAAGTAACTTCATATTTGAATTGAGAAAAGAAACTCCGTCCTCAGCTGTTTAGTTTTTGAAACTTTAGCCTTTATACATACAGTAGCTCAATTTATTTCCTACCAGTTTGATCTGTGCAGTATTAAACATAAGAAAGCCAAATGATATGTCTTGGAGAATGGGTGCCTAATGTTCTGTATAGGATGCAGCTTCAGACTGTTTGCTTGTGTTGTCTGTTTTTGTGCTTTGGCTTATACCCACTCCCAAGTAATATATATAGAATACCAGCCTTTGAGTACAGAGGCTACTATTGGTGAACTTCTTTGTAACTGCTGCACTGTACAGCTGAAGAGAAAGACATGTACAAGAATGCTGATCTGAGATTAGGCTTGGAGCACAGAAAAATGTCCTTAGCAGTCCCTTTTGCCCTTCAGCTCTTTGAACAGTTTGTTGAATTGGAAGTTAACTCATGTGCTTGTACATAGAGAAGGTGTAACATGTCTGGACAATGCATTCTGAAATATATTTTTGAAGTAGGTAAATCCAGAATATGTATATGTCTGATAAATACTTATAATTAGGGAAGAAGAAAGGTAGATGTGAAATTTCGTTCAAGTTCTGAGATATTACCCTGTCCAAGTTTTCATTTTGAAAATATTTGCTTGCTTATGGAACTCTTGCTATATACTGTTAGTGTTTTGGTCAGGGTGGATTTGCTTTCAGTCACCATTTAAATTTAAAAACATACTTTGAATGATTTAAATAATTTTTTTTGTTTAAATTGTGATTTAAATCGAACTTTGGCCTTTGGAATGCCCTCCCAAACAACATCTGATTGCCGTTGACATTACTGACATTTTGGCACCAGGTTAAAACCTTCCTGTTCTGGAAGTTTTTTAATTGAAGGTTTTAATTTTAATTGATAGAGTCATGGGTCTAGATTGTTGTTGTGGATTATTTTTGTTTTTGTTTTTATTTTTGCTTTTGTAACCGTATTGTTTTTTAGCGTTTGTGTTTTTAATTGAACTGTTTTAATTGATGTTGGAAGCCGCATGGAGACTCTTGCAGAGTGTGGGCGGCATACAAGTCGAATGAATGAATGAATGAATAAATTTGGTTTTTAAAAAATCCCAGATTTTTATCCACCCTAGTTTCATTACTAGTAGATTTCCATTTGATCAAGCTCTGAATTTGTTCAGTACTGATGGCTGATTTTTCTAATGAGAAACTGAACATAATTTCTGATTTATTTAATGAGAACGATTCAGCATATTGTGTAAGCCACATTTCTTTTTTATTTCTGTTCTTAGGAATGGCTACTCCTATAAAGTAGCAGTAGCTCTGTCTTTATTTCTTGGATGGTTGGGAGCAGATAGGTTTTATCTAGGATATCCTGCACTAGGTAAGTCTCTTTCATTTGTTCAAATATTAATCTATAGGCTAGTTCGGTGGTGTCATACAGTATGTATCAACCTAGCATATTAACAGCTAAACATTTTAATCTACACAGCAGGCAAGTAAATCAGTTCAAATTAATCACAACAATGGCTCCTTTTAAAAGAGGAGAATGTATAAGAAATGAAAAGCAGGTTGCAAAAGCTGTGGGAGACCATCCTTCAGCAGGCAGAATAAGAAAGTTGAAATTCTGTAGCAGAAACATGCAGATCAGAAAACAAACAGTGTAGCACTGATAGAAGCCAAGAATCTGGGTTTTGGACCCTCTGTATTCTCCTACAATCCATCTTTGGACAATGCTTCTGCTTCGTCTAGTATGGTTGGTTCAACAGTCAAATAGAAAGGAGAACTTCCATGGCTATGTAGCCGTGGTAGCAAGTTCAGCTCACCCAAATCAATGATACATCTTCAATGAAGAACAGCTTAAAAGAAGACATGGAAGAAACCTGCAGTTTGTGGTTTTATTAACACCAGAATTATTTAAAATATTTTTACCCCACCTTTGCCTTAAAAATTACCCAAGAGCCTTAAAAATTACCCAAGATGGCTTACATTATTGAAAGTAATATTTAAAGCTTAAGAAGTATAGAAATATTATAAAGCAACAAATACTACTCTGAGAAATGGTAAACAAAAGCAATACTAAGAACACATTCAAAGCCCTAATGCATAACAATCCATTTTAAAAAATCTACTCGGCCAGCCGAGGGAAAGCTTTGCAAAGATGGACCCAGTCTGGCCTCTTTTGGGAGGGAGTTCCAGAGTCTTGGAGAAGCCTTCTCCCATGTCCCCACCAAACAGACTTATGAAGGTGGTAGAACTGAGAGAAAGACCTCGCCTGATCATCTTAACACTTGAGCATAATGGGAGACAAGGTCTTTGAGATAGCTTGGACCAGAACTGTTTACGACTTTATAGGTTAAAAGCTGCACTTTGAATAATGCCTGGAAATAAATCAGCAGCCAGTGAAGGGTTATATGACCCCTATAACCAGCCCAAGTCAGCAATCTGCTGTGTTTTAGACCCACTGAAGTTTCTTGACACTTTCAATAGGCAGCCCCACATAAAGCATGTTACACTAATCCCTCCAGGATATAACTAAGGGAGGCATGTGTCATCGTGGCCAGATCAGACCTCTCCAGGAATGGGCACAGCTGGCGCACTAGTTCAGCTTTGTCAGATCCATAATATAGATGAAAGATTTTCACATAGCACACTGTAAGATGTATGAAACTGGGTGCTTTTACTAGTTAGCCCCCACCTAAACCCTGACTTAAATAATTATGCCCCAACATTTATTAAAATGCTTTCCTTTCTCTCTCTCTCTCTCTCTCTCTCTCTCTCTCTCTCTCTCTCTCTCTCTCTCTCTCTCTCTCTCTCTCTCTCTCTCTCTCTCTCTCTCTCTCTCTCTCTGTGTGTGTGTGTGTGTGTGTGACTTCTGTTCCCCCCCCCCTTTGTCATTAAGTGGTACTGTTATAACTGCTTTTTTGTTTGCAGATCTTGCTGGCAGCAGTAGTGCCTGTGCTTTTATATGCTTAGCTAAACATGCTTTAATTATTTATTTGCCCATGTTTTTTTAAGTGTAGCAAGCCTTGTGTACCCATTTGGACTGGAAGCCTTTCATATTATAGAGTGTCATGTTTGTATTTCCCAAAGGAATAACACCCATTAAGTCTGTCACTCTTCTGCATGTTACACGAATAGGCAGTTCTCAGACTCCAGTGTATCATTGCAGCAATTAAAAAGATAGAAATCAGCCACATATGCAAACATATTCCAAAGCTTTGTCTAAAACTGCCATAAACTTTATTTCAACTATTTGTTAATGTATTCACACTGTTTCTTTGTAATGTACAATCCGGCATTGGACAAGCAACTCTGTCTTTATAAATTGCTTGTCTAAAGGTCTAATCATAGGGATACATATACCAGCAATATTAGCAGTATTGTGGATTAATCTAACACAGATGCTCAGTGTTCTGTAGAATTCAGAAGTGATGATGTCACCATGCAGATGGTCCAAAGGATAAAAGTGACGTTTATAATACATAGAGTAGTTAAGCCTAATCTATTTCAAAAGCAGATAATTGTGGTGAAAACATTCCTTTCGGCTTGGTGAGTTTTATGTACATTTTCCCCAAGGAAAATAACCAGTTTCTGCTACAGATCCTGAAATGGCATTTTATAGAACTCCTAACGTCTGTGTTACACATTTACAGTCTCAGAACGAAATAAAGTTACTGAACTTTGCATAAGAACCAGCAGTAGTTGATCAATATTTTAATTCTGAACAGACATGGCTGTCTTATTGCTGTATTACCTACATAATTACAGATTACAAAGTAGAATGATAGGATATCAGGTTCCACTAGTGGATGCTTCTACCTTAACAGGAAGTATATCAATCCATACACCTTTTGTGGCTATCAGCTTGGAAGGGATACTAAAAGAGGATCATAACTTTGCCCCTGATGTTCAATAATACTTATATAATCATAGAACTGTGCAGGAGGAAGGGACCTATGGATGTATGAATCCAATCCCAGCCAAAGCAGGAAAACCACAGTTAAGCATCTCTGAAATGTGGCTAATTTATTGTTATAAATTTTTCTTGAACTTGTTATGTTTTATGTTGTAAGCCGCCTAGAGTGGTCAAAATGACTAGATAGGCGGGGTATAAATACAATT